AACCAACAAGTCCTCCAACCTGAACAGCCACACAGGTTGTTTTTTCCAACCCTCTGACCCACAGGAGTGTTTCCTGATATAGCGGCCCTACAGCACCCTTCATCGCCCTTTGTGGCCATTGATACTATAATAAAGGTCATGTCTTGGTTAGGTTTAGGAAAAGATCATGATTTAGGTGAGAATAAGAACTTCCTCAAACACATTACAACGTTACATTACATTACGTTACAATAATAACGTGGTTAACTTTGACCATACTTTTCCATTAGATGTCGCCTAGCAACAAAACGTAACTATGGGTCATAATAACCTGCTGCACAGACGACCTATGGGCTTATTTTTTATAGAAAACACTGAAAATACAACGTTGACATGCTATCACCTCATAAAGTAGTACTATAGTGTTCACCTGATGACTCTAAGTCCAATATTCACTCTGCTTTTAGCTCCAGTTTGGTCTCCACCACCTCCTGAGAAAAATATCTGGCTCTTTAGCTGCTGTTCCACTCATCTGAAGACCACCTAGTTGCTAACCTTGTCTGCCCAGATATGGCAAAGTTGGTAACACTGATTTTGCTGAAATCAACTGGTTGCTGCATCATAAAATGAAGTTGCTGAGCGCAGAGGTGTTGGGAACTACAAAGTCTGGTGATAACTTCCAGTGGCTTTGACACTACACATGACCTCTTTAACATTACACATATTAATCTGATTCATAGTTAATATAAAAAGACTGTAGTGCAGCTTTAATCTACTAATATTTCCATCGCTCTTCCTTGCTTCCTCTGTTTCTCTCTCTCACACTCACACACTGTGGGGTTAATTGTCATAATCCAGCATGGCTCCTCAGTATGTGCAGTAACCTCTGTTCTCTGACACCATATGGACTCAGCTGTCAAGGAGCTGAAGAGAGATGCAAGGGAGGACTGGACATTGAGGCTTAAATGAGTCAAAGACACACACACACACACACACACACACACACACACACACACACACACACACACACACACAACAGCAACCTACACACATCGCGGGCCAACACAAACATACATTCCCAGAGGAGGACAGCTGTTCATGCTAACAGGGAAACAGCCTTTTCCAGCTGATGTGCTGACAGAGATGCCTGATTAGTTTCCACTTACACATTGTACAGTAGCCTGGGCTCGTCCAACATACCAGTGGATTTATGGGGTATTGTTTGGGTTCTTGGCATTAGCCAGAGTTGGTTTTAGTTTGTGTCACTAAGTCTTCCTTTGGGTTAATGACATTGCTCCTTCATAAGGAAACAAGATGAACATGAATCAGTCCAAGTCTGGTTAGGACGACACTTGTTAAGGGGGCCCAGGAAGGAGTGGAGCAAAGGCTGCTGGGCCACTAAAGCAGAGATTAAACATCCTACGCTCCACTACAAAGCCCTCGTGCTGTCCCCCCCCCCCTCCTATGTGAGTAACACTATGTAACAGTAAACACCACTCAGTAATAGTGTGTTTTAATATCAGCTGAGCACCAGGGCAGGGCTTTTCCTCAGGGCACAAACAACACAAGCACAAAACAGGAGTGTCTGATCTAAACTCCCACCTCACACACACACAATGAAAAGTGAGAAGCATTTTGGAAAAATGTCAGGGATAGATGTGAAAACAGTGTCTGATACTAAGCTGCATGTGTCACAAACCAGCAAACAGGCTGTTGTATATAGACTGATGTTGGATCAGCAGCTAAACACACTGAATGGAATATAATGCTCCCATTGTCCTTGAAATAACCTTGATCCCATTGAAACTAATGTAAAATGTATATTTTCTAAACATGTTTTTGAGGTTGCTAATTTGCTAATGCTGAGCTACAGATGCTCTACCCATGTTGTTTTGGGCATGATGACCTCTTAGAGGAAAATTCATCATGAATGAGTTGCAAACCTTGGTAGCGTGATATCATCCAAATACTATTACCCACAATCCCCCATGCAAAGATAACACACCATGTCAGATGACACAACTCAAAGTGATACTGTTGGTGCAGGTCGTTAGCATTGTGCTAGTGGAACACAAAGAAAACATGATTTTAGACAAAGTCAGCAGCACTGTAGGCGTTTTTACATGTTGCTATGTTGTAATATGCTGATTAGCAATGGTTAAAGGAGTCATACTTAGTGGCTGTTTTTTGTTTAACTTTGAATAAAAATCTTATTGGAAGTTAAGGACATTACAGATTGCAGATACAAGATGATAAATGTATCATGATACAGAGCATTAGTAAGGACTGGATATCATTATTTCAAGGACATGTCTAAACAATTAGAGTTTCAGTGAGCAGCTGGTAGCGCTAGGATAGGATTTTTGAGGCTGATACCAGTATTGAGACTGTAGAGGTAGGCCTACAAATGAATGATAAAACCTATTTTTTTATATTAGTTTTTTAACATAAATGCACAACATGGTGCACATTTTTGATAATGATCCCTTACATTTGACCAATAACATACATACTGAACATACATCATTGCTCTCTGGTGGACACACTATGTAATGAAGACACTGTTTTTCCACTGACATTTACACACATAATCGATACACCAAAATATATAGTGTGTGATAAGATGATATTGGCTGATTATATCACCTGGCTGATACATTGGTTTGGCTCTAATAATGTGCATGTACTGGCACCTTTAAACACATTCACAGCAGTATGAAAATTGCAGCCTTGTTAGTTTTGTTTGTTTTTCCATGATGTTCTTTAGAGTATAAGTACACACCACTACTACCAGTACACAAATGCCTCCACAGTGTTTAAATAGTTGTTGTGAGTGGAGATGTGATTGCGCATGGAGGAACAAGTCGTCAGCGCTAATGAGTCCTAACAAAAGCCAAGTATTTATGTGTTGACAGTGTTACAGTTCACTGGGGGTGTTGCTGGAGTCTCTCTCTGTCTACTGCTGATTTTGAAGGAATCTGCTCTTGAAGGGCAACAGAGTAGCACAGAAAATTGAAAACAGAACACACTGTGGTTTGCTTTTTTTAATGAAGATGAATCTGAGGTTATGTCATAGTTGGCAACCGTAAACAAAGCCAGTGTTTTGAGTTAGCGAGGGAGCCAGAGATAGGCATTTCAGGGGGAGTTTCTCTTGCCAAAGGGCCAAAGAAGTTGGCTAATGCTAGCAAAATCCCAGCCCTCTTGTTTTTCACAGTGTGGTATTTCAGGTAGATTGTATTGGAAACTTGCAGCCCTCAAGACATTATTGTATTCTAATTAAAATTCTGATTTATGATCCTTTTGGATTGAGAAACCGTTCAGTCATCAAATTCTCTCAGATGCAATGATGGAGATTAGCTTTTCTTTTTGACTGACAGTTCTGCCTTGCTCATCTGCGGATCATTATATATGAAATCTTGTGCTGGTATGCCAAGACGAGAAAGCCAAATATATTGTGTAAGTACGTTAGAATAGCACAAATGCAAAACCATTCACAGTGAGACAGTCTGGGTTGCCTAAGATGGAGCTCTTATTTGACTTTTGCCCAGTCCCTGGACAGAGACTGAGAGAAACACAGAGAGAGGGAGGTTAGCCCAAGCCATGATGTCTGAGTCACTGCTGGAAACTCTGAATGTTCTCGCACCACTGTGCAAAAAGCTGCAAGCTATTATACATCACAGCCTCAAAGGCTAAAAAAAGAACAGGGCTCCCCTCAACTCCCCTCAAAAAAAAACTTGCTCTCTGTCTTTAAATGAAACATTTCTCTGCCTTAAACAGGACCTTGAGCTCACTTGTGGTATTTTCCATCTCTGTATAAAAAAAGGGAATTGACTTTCCGAATTAATTCCGTATGACTTGGGCAGCCGGCAAGCTCGGCTCACATGTGACGGCTTGTATCCTGAAGTTCTACACACTGTCTGCTATGAAAGGAAAAATATCTGGAAGCCACCTGTTGAGGATACCACTTATTGATCCAATGTACAGTAGATCTGGGGTGGGGCTGGGGTTGGGGTAGAACAACATCTGAGAGTCTAACAATCACAGACACACAGTGCAGCCCTGATCACTGCTCCTGTATGTTGTCTAAGAACATAATAAGTTGTGCCTCTGTTGGCTCTGTAGCCCCACAGACAGACTGTGTGTTGCTTGGAGCTTGAGGTTATTTGTGCTTTGACACAATTTTATGAAAGTTCATTTATGAATACTTGGAAAAAGTAGCACATACCAGGCTGGAAAATGACTTGAAGCTGTGCTTTCTCATACAAGTGTGAGTAATGAATCTGGTGATTGTTTCCACAGGTGTGGATGTGTCTCAAGAGTCTTTTTGACAAATTATATTAAACTATGTTTTTGGTTATTAGCATGAAAATGCATTTCATTTAAATACATATTGGTTGCTGTTCATAACATAGCTTCATTCACTCATATTTTACATATTTAATGATGGTTTATTGTTCATATTGTACATTATCATAGTTACATCCCCTCTTAGTATATTGCTTGTTGTTTATTGTTCACTTTATGATTTCATTCACGCGAATATGTATCTACAGTATATGCATTTTGCTAATCTTTGTGTCCGGGTTGTAAACCTGTCTCGTAGAAATTATACTTATATCCTACTAATTAGTATTTGAAGGAAGCATCATTTCTGTTTTTCCAGCTGAGAAAATGAGGAAAAGTTGCATGGAGGGGGTCGGGGTGGAAAGTGAGATTCATGTTTGGTCTTTCTCAGGTTTGTACAACAAAACACTTCAGTTAAGGGATGGGTATAGGGTTAGCATCAGGGTAAACTTGAGGAACATCTCTATCAAACCAACACTTTCTTCTTCATTTGTATCAAACCACCACTGAATCATTTTCAGTAGGATTTCTTGAAAGTGATGTGGTACATTGACCCATGGGCCACACCCATAAACCAATAAGGTGTCGTGTACGTTACATAAACAACCTGAACCTCAATCACACGAACCACAACCACACACTAATACATGTATTTACACAGACAAACTCTCTCCCACCTGGTAGATCATGACTTTAAAGTTGCGTCTCTTGAGCAGCTCGGCCTCGTTGTTCTCCAGCTTCTTGATCTGGCCTCCTTGCTTCTCCAGGGCGGCCTGCACTGTCTTGACGTTGACGCTCACCTTGCGCACCTTCTCCATCATCTTACTGACGCTGTTGGACGTGGTGCTGTGGCTCTTGGACAGTTTGGACAGCTCGCCCTGGATGCTGGTCACCGAACGCTCCATGTCCTGCTGCCTGGCCTCAAGCCCACTCTGGGTCTGCTGGATCTGGTCCACTGCCCCAATTATCTTGTCAAGCAAAGACAGCACCAAGACCCCGTTGGCCTGCTGGTCCAGCCTCGCCACTTCGTCCTTGTCTTCGGCGGCGTCCCCCTCTGTGCCCATGGCGGACAGCTCTTTTTTGGCTGCGGCAAGGGCATCGTCTTCATCATCTGAGGGTGGGAGGTTGACCTCGTCGTCTGAGATCTCAGTGAGGGTCTGGGGCTCCAGCTGAGCACTTGAGGATTCCAGTGCTTCCATGGCTGCCATGTTGGTGGATTTGTAGTGTACAGTCAGCTAATCAACCTTTCTTCACCACTGGTTCTTCTCTCCCACCTGCTTCTTCTTTTTCTTCCCTTCTCCGGACCTCTGTTCTTTTTCCCTCCTACTTCTAAACTCACTTATCTCTTTCCAGCATACATGCACTTTGTCTCTCTTTCTCTCTGTCTCTCTGTCTGTCTTTCTGTCTGTCTGTCTGTCTGTCTGTCTGTCTGTCTGTCTGTCTGTCTGTCTGTCGTGTCTACTTCAAATCCCTGGAATCAGGCCAGTGTGCAGAGGAGGCCAAGCAATGCTGGATGTTACCACATGAGCGTTAGACTGCGAATGCCACACCAGGGAGAGAAAACCCTCCAGTCAAGCTAAAGCCGGCAGTTTTTTTTTTCTCCAGCCCCCCCTCTTTTTTTCCACCGGACTCTCCTCCTCTCATCAAACCCCTCCCTCATCTCCTCCCTAAATACTCACATACACACACACACACACACACATCAGTACAACTCCACCCACAGCTGGAAGGTCCAGCCCCTTGATGATTCAATGACACACCCCCTTGGTCAAACCTTGTCCCATCAGCGTGGTTGGAATAGTCAGGGCAGAGCTGTGCTGATCTGCTTGTATACAAGCTGAGGCACAGCAGAAGGAGGAATGTCAGGCAGGATCCCTTCCTTTTTCCACTCCTTTCCCCCCTCAATGAAGAACATGGAAGAAGGCAGGGCTGGATTTAAAATGGATGACACCAGGCAGGAAAACGAGCCCTCCTTGGGTCATAAACACATAAACAAGGACATAAACGAGCAAAGACTGGGAACAAAATGATCTCTTGATGAGTTCTAGGCACATTGTTGTTGTAGTAGTTGACATTTTATATTTCATATTTGCAAATACAGTAATGGATTTGGGTATTTAGCAGCTAAAAGTTTACCGATAGGTAATAACTCAAGGTCCATTTACTTGATTTCTCTAGTTTTTAACTGCCTTCATCAGTAAATGGCGTTTGGTGAGTCATCATGGACTCAGGACAATGCCATTCGCTGATGAAAATCATGAAATATCCACTCATTTAATAAAGAAAGGCAAGGGTTAGGGTTCCACACAAAGACAGTAAAAACCCATATCCACTCTAGAAAACACACCCTCACCAGATCATGATTTTATTCTAAGAACAGTTAGAAAAAACCACCATCTGACGACCCGAGAGGTCTGACTGGACTGTTGTCCAGCAGCACAATGACCATTATTTTCAGTGACATTACCTCCACCTCTTTACTTTATTCATCTCTATATGAAGGACACCCATTCAGAAATGTAATATCTGACATATATGTCCCTATATCAAGATTGATGTTGCCATATATGTCAGCTATAAGGGGATATATTATTATCACATATATACATCCTCTGGATATATGAAGACATAAGTTCATGTATGAAATACCCATAGCAGAATTTACATATATTAAAAAATATCTATGACTATGTATGTTAATAATATACATATAATAATATAATATACTGTATATTTAATTTACATTACATTACTCTTTTATGCTGCAGTCTGCTGGGGCAGCAGCATGTCAGACATGAACACAAGGAGACTGGACAAGCTGGTCAAAAAGGCTGGAGCCGGGCTTGGCAGGAGTCTGGACTCACTCAGGACTGTTGTGGAGAGACACATGCAATGTAAGATGGAGGCCATCTTGGACAATACCAACCATCCTCTCCACAACATTCTGGCAGGACAGAGAAGCAGCTACAGCTGCAGCAAACGTCTCATGACACTGTGCTGCAGAACAGAGAGGTTCACACCTATATAGACAACACCACAGCCAAAGGAAGTCGACTAATCTAATTATCATTGTTCATTTGTTATTAACTCTTTTTATTATTATTAGTAGTAGTAGTAGTAGTATTAGTATTAACAATGAGCTAATGGACACATGAATTTCCCCTAGGGGATAAATCAAGTATGTATGTATCTATCTATCTATCTTAATTAATTTACTTATGTTTATTAAAACAACATACATATAAAAAAGTCTATATGCTAACATATATTTTTTTATTAATTTCTCATTAATTTTAAACATGTCTATTTCACATTCTGGGGAAGTAATCTCAGACTTTTGGACCCTACTGTATAAAATATCAACATATATTGAAGGAGTTTGGGATGGATATAGCCTATATTTATGTAGTATATGTCTACAATATAAGCATACATACATAAACTAAATATTTGTATGGGCTAGAAATATATGTCAATATATGAAATTGCTCTAATTTCTAATTGTATATTTTTAAATATATATATATACAGTATACAATATTGTGCTTCTGGCTATTTGGTTTTTTCCCAACCTTGAAAATTATTTTGCCCATTTGTGTGGTATAGTGCCAACTAAGCACAGAGGGCATGGTTCACAAGGGGGTGGAGAGGTGAAAACAGGAAGGAGGTTTTTTCAAATGAGGCAGCACAAGGCGAGTTGGCAAGGTGAGAGTTGACATATCAGAACCATGTCATGTTTCTGGTGCATCATCAACTTTGAGGCCAGTCTGGTGCTTTTATCAACAAGAGCAAACCAAATATTTGGAATAGATGTGACAGTTATTTTAATTGAACTCTCTTAAGGGCCCTATTTTCATGGCACTCTGTATTTGATACCAAAATACCAGAAAGATGGGCAGAGCGAATCTCATTGTCAATCTGTTGGAGTTCATTTTCTAAAAATACTGTTTAACTCTACTTCCCAAAGAATGAATAGATATTTAGCATCCATCTGACGAATCACTACACTATCAATCATTGTGTCAACTGACTAACCAATGGCTTAAGAAACATTATGGCTGAAACTTGACACTGATTTCTTCATAACTACCTGATTGTGTCTTCAAACAATAATCAGGTAGTTTGAAGCCATACTTGCCTAGCCTATAGTTTGACACCTCATCCATCAACCACTGAGCCATGACGTTGAATCAGAAATTACAGTCAGTAGCTGTAGGTACATAGTGAAAATTGATAGTTTTCTTAAATGATCAGCACAGTCTTGTTTGTTAATAATGGCCAAGGGAGGGTCAAGGTCGTCAAGAGCTGCAATGAAGACCTATGTATTTAGATAAGATCTTGAAGAGTCATTTGCCATGGAAACCCATTTTCCAAAGTGCACCTTCCAGTCATTATGTTCAGATTTCTTTCCACATGCATCTCATTGGTCCTCTCTTCTGCACAGCAAGCAAACACTTGGGAAAAAAAAAACATTAGAATGCATTCAAATTGGGAAAACCACATGGCACCCCGGAATGAGGCAGAAAGCTATCTTTGAAAAGCTGTTTCTCGTAGAAGTCTGCCACAGTAATTTATGCACATTATGGGAGTTCCATGTTTCCAAAATTGTTCCGTGGCAGCCAGCCAGTGTCCTGGTTTAAACCCTGCTCCGTGTGGAACTGTGAGAGGGTGAAACTCCACTGTGGCTGTTTTTAAGAGGAAAATTTCTACAGTATCTCGTTAGGACTGACTCAACACTTGGCCAGTTGTGGACTGTTCCACCACATCTGGTAGACCTTAATCTCAGAACGTTTAGAGAGGGGGTTTTGGTAGCACTTTACTTTAGGTGGTACTCACAAGGAATTGGGTGTCATACACATCTAACATCTAACATCTAAGTTCATGATAACTATCTGGCTTGATACAGTACAGACTGTAAAAAAGAAAAGGGAAAATCTCCATCATATGACTGATTATTGGTAGAATATTAAAGCTGATGTTATCAAGATTTTTTTTATAACAAATCAAATATGTGTAATGTGAAAGGATTTGATCATATTGCATGATCTTCATCAGCAGATGGAGTGAGCCCACCTGTCAACGATCTTGAGAAATTAGATTTATGGCGGAGCTTAAAACTTAACTATAGCCATAACATAAAGGAACTATTTGTAAGTGTTGCTATTGCTACATAGCTAACATTAGCATTAACAGCTGTTTACTTACCAGTCTAGAAGAAATGTTGTGTGTTCAGCGTCAAACTTCACTCCTTTAATCACCAACAGCTGTCTCTAGAGGTGGAAACAAACACCAATGTTAACTCTGAGACTGTCCTCCTGTGAAAAACGAGCCCATAGTCCGTCTGTGCAGCGGGTTATTATGACCCATAGTTAGGTTTTGCTGCTAGGCGACATCTAGTGGTCGTAGTAATGATGACAGGAGCAAAGGGGAAAGTGCGGTGGCGTAGTATAGAGAGAGACAAAGTCCATGTCAGGAGGAGGTTGTGGTCGATGGATGAATATGACACAGGAGAGCCGTGTTCGATTCCCATGTGAGACCAGCAGTTTATGTTGATTGTTTTATCCATGACCGTTCGACAAAGTTAACCACGTTGTTATTATTGTAACCACGACAACAAAGATCATCTAATGTTGAGGAAGTACTTACTTTAACCCAAATCACCATCTTTTCCTGAACCTAACCAAGACATGACAGTTATTATAGTATCCACGGCAACGATTCATACACTGTTCTCGGTACAGTTGCATGTTATTATGGTAACCAAGACAACTGAGGTCCAGTATGCATGCCGCTAGTTGTTAACTCTTGTCTCTATCTATTTCATTTTCTTCTACTGAAGTTAGCACGCTAACCAGCTAACCCTGGCTTGTCACTTTCCCATAGCAACTCACTGTAACTGCTCAGAGGGCGTATTATAACCTCTTGTATTATAAAGCCGAAGCTCATGTCAAACACCTGCTCCCAGCAAAAAAACATGTTTAATGGCAGAGAATGTGTTATTTAAAGTTCATTAGGCTATACTGTGCATTTTGCCGGGGATGTTGCACACACTAACAATGGTCTTTGGCTGGTGTGACACATCCATGTGTCTTTAGTTTGCAGTCACTTCTGTAGCAGTAAGTGCCAGGTCAGATATTCCGAAGCTTTCAGAAATCTCCAAGTTTCCCAATCGTTATTACAGCCTGGATGTTGATGTGAAAGTGGGTACTAATAATTACAATAACTCCAATATGATATAAGGCACAAGCCACCATACTTTTATCATTCTTATTTATACATGAAGGCCAGTGATCTCCCTCACATAATTCCTATTTTAACCCCCCCCACTTTAACCTGAGTTTAAGTCTAGTCAGACAGGATGACTGAAAACACGTATGTGGGTGTGTACAGGATCTTAAATGTTAATAATAACTTAAAGACTCTGCACACCCTATGAGGTGTTTTCACTTATCCTGTCAGATTTGCAACCTTCTCAGGCTGAAAGTGGGCGGAACTAAAATGGGAATTAAGGTATGGTCACATACCTGCAAAAGGATGTGATGTCATGACTCTAATGTGGGCAATAATTAGGCTAAATATTGACCAGAGCAAGAACAAACTGTAACTTTAACCTGTAAAAGAATGTAGTTAACTGTGACAACATATAGGTAATATATTGATGAAACACAAGAGAATAATAAATTATCTATTTCCTAAAATCAATAAAATATATAAATATATAATAAAATATAATATGCATATAAACATCAATGACATAACAGTGTCTGTGATAAATAGTCAGTGTGTGTGTGTGTGTGTGTGTGTGTGTGTGTGTGTGTGTGTGTGTGTGTGTGTGTCCCGTTGTGTCACGTGTCTATTTTAAATCCCTTTGATGTATGAATATATCCAGTGTTGATGACCTGTTCCAGTTGAGTCACCATGTCATTACAAGTAATCCTGGATCAACCGCATGAAACTGACGGAACTTTTAAAACAAGCGTCCGGTTAGAATTTTCAAAATAAAACCACGATGACAAATCTATCAGCCCGACTTTGTACTATGAAAAGCGGCACCGTGACTCATTAATAATATAACACAATCCGAATACATTGGTATCATTATCATCTTTAGAGTCACTACTGAAAAGGTACAAGATGTCCGTCAAGCAAAGACACAGTGCTTTAATTTTGAAGTCGTTTCTTGTCAGTTATATTTTCGGCCGACTGTGTCTAACTTGATGCGCTACCCTGGACCACAGCAGCCAGCATCCAGGAGGGTCTGACAGGCCGGAGAGAGCCGCCTTGCTGCAGCGAACACAGGTGAGGAAATGGATATTTTTAAAAAATGTTTCATGTGAAATGTTGAAGGTTGTCATTTAAATGTTTTAGACTCAGTGTCAGTGAGGGGATTATGAACCATATTGTAGTAGATATTACACGTTTGTGCTGTCACGACAGTGATAACGAGACACCGACGAAGGCGCCTCACGTTCACAAATAATTTTTTTCTTAACAATGTTAAATTCTGATGTTAGTAACGTTTGTCATGTGAAGCGAGTTGTTCCCGTTATAAATATCAGGCCACTATAGCGTTATAAGATAGTACTACTACTACTATAAGCGAGTCAACCTAACCCATTCTCTGGTACTGGGCCTTTAACGCGCACAATGTTTGTGTATAACGGGAAAAAACATTAGCGTTTATTGCTGAACGGTGAATCATTTCTAAAGATGGACAGAATCAGTGTCTGGGCGGAGGTGACAGATGGTCACACAGAACTGCAGGCCGGACTCCTGCAGCATCATGGCGTCCTTGAGCAGTGAAGGGCAGAGATGCAGAGGAGGGATGCTGCGACGTCAGCGATGCTCTGCTCTTCCTGCTGGAGCCGTTAAGACATTTCTTGTAATACAGAACTGATTTTATAATATTAACTTGAAATGATATTATAAAAGCATTTGCATTTGCATCCTTGTTTATTTAGTTAGTTTTTATATGTAGTCACTATTTTTCGTTATTGTGTTTTTTTTATCATTCTCTGATGTAGATATTACTTTATTTTGTCTTGTTAAATGACGTGTGTGACTGACTGTTTCTACATTCATATGATTAAATTGAAATAAATTAATAAGTAAAGGCTTGCATCCTTGATCAATAAGCGCCATTCCCTTCTGTAGCTTAAGCATTTTACAGGAGCCCACATATGGGCGATCAATGGATATTAAACTTGAGCCTATCTATCTTGGTTATTACAATATTTCTGTTGTACAGATACATCGGGGCTGGATCAACCTGTTCTAGGCTTGTCCTATTGGACAGTTGATTAGAGCTAAATTTGATTAAACTAAGGCGATAACTAGTGATTATTTCCATTATTGATTGATCAAGTAAATTATTCTGGAGCCTTAGAATTTTTGATTTTGTCCTTGATAAATGTCAGAATTCTTCTCAGTTCATTTTCACTTCATAGACTAACAGAGTAATCAACTGAATGTTTTAGCACTAAATTAAAAGAAGATTTATTTAGGAATATGCACCATGTTAGCAGCCGACAACAGAAACTGAAACAATAAAAATAGACACTGTGTTGACCCACATCTACATGACAGGGTATCAACATGAGGTTAAAGTAGAGGATTTGCCTTTACCAGCTGACTTAACATTGTACTTTAATGCACATTTCCAACAAATCTGTAATTAATTAAATCACAAACAAATTGTGACAGAGTAAACATGGGGGTTTGAGCCCTGGGCAGGCCTGGGGTACCGGCAATGTTTTCTACAAGTGTGAAGATTTGCTGCTGCTCTTTGTCATATTAACAATAACAGTTAACTCTGGGTTTTGCTCTGGTAATGGAAGATTTAAAGGCGTCAGCTGGGCCATGCACCGCTGAGGAATCACATTTTTATAGACAAAAATTATTAATCGATTAATCAAGAAAGTCCCTGGCAGGTTGGTAATTTAGCGTTTACCACAATACAACACTATATAGTACAGTGTAGCATAACATAACAGTGTGGCATGCTCTTTGTTTTCTGTTGTGTTGTACTAAACTGCACAGTATAGTTTAGTGAAGTACAGTAGTACATTAGAGTAAGGTAATAGCATACAGTGCAAAACAGTGTTATATTATAATACAGTATATTGTTCTGATTAATATGAAATGTTTACATCAGTTCACCTACAAAACAGCAGGTCTTGTATGTGCTTTGAAATGTCCTTCAGAAATCTTGAAGTCTAATAGTTCATGTTTCCTCCTGTCCGGTCCTGCAGTGTCTTTATTCTAGCTGAGGAGGAGTGAGGTGGTCATCATGGGAGAACTGTTCAGGAGTGAGGAGATGACCCTGGCCCAGCTCTTTCTCCAGTCTGAGGCAGCCTACTGCTGCGTCAGCGAGCTGGGAGAACTGGGCATGGTCCAGTTCAGAGATGTAAGTACAAAAGTTCTCAAGTGCAGTTGTAGAAACAGACAGATTAATCTCACTCATTAGATTATAGCTTGTGAAAATAATGAGAGGTCAGAGACGATGAGTGGTTTCCTGTATTTTACTGACATTTGACTTCACACACTTACTGTACATGTGGTAATTAATCAATTAATATATAGATGTTTTCAATTCATTTCCTGGATATCAGTCACTTCGAGTTTTAGCCAAACACCATAATAATTATTGTGTCAAAATATCTTTCTCTTGTGTCTTTCAGCTGAACCCAGACGTAAACGTGTTTCAGCGCAAGTTTGTGAATGAAGTGAGGAGATGTGAGGAGATGGACAGGAAACTGAGTAAGTAATGAGACAAATTAACATCAGGCCCAGACAAAGGCGCAGTGTGGCTCCTATCTGGGACTCAGTCCAGGTTCAGTTTCTGATCCCTTGTTGCTCCTTACAGATGAAGACCACATACAGTCAATGTAGTTCAGATGTTTCTCTATAATGTGTTTGTGTTTCATCTTTTCTGGAGAAATATGGGAATTTGTTCAAACATGATGTTCTCTGCTGTATAGGGTTTGTTGAAAAAGAGATCAAGAAGGCCAACATCCCAACTGTGGACACTGGAGAAAATCCAGAGGTGCCGTTTCCCAGGGACATGATCGATCTAGAGGTAATCAATCATCAGTCCATTCATAAGAATGAAAAACATAAATGTAAAAGTTAGAATGCCAATCCATGTTTGTGATGCATATTCACAGCCAGTCTATAACAGTGGGTGTGTGTGATTTGTGATTGGCAGGCCACCTTTGAAAAGCTGGAGAATGAACTGAAGGAGATCAACACCAACCAGGAGGCCCTGAAGAAGAACTTCCTGGAGCTGACAGAGCTCAAACACATCCTCCGTCGAACACAGCAGTTCTTTGATGAGGTTTGTGTGTTTCACCCTTTCAGACACACACACACACACACACACACACACACACACACACACACACACACACACACACACACACACAAATACACACTCACATCAGCACCCACCCATCCCATCTACACCATCAGTGAACCTAGTTTATTGAAAGTCTTATGTGTCAGTTTTATTCCAAAGTGTAATACCACAGAGCAGTGTATGTAACAGTGTATGCTTTAAAGGTCCGTATAGTATAAAGGTAGATGTCCATGTGTTGTTTGATTATAAAGTAGGTTTAGTAAATTAAAACTTTCTGTGACAGATGGAGGATCCCAACCTGCTGGAGGAGTCATCAGCTCTGATGGAGGGCAGTGAGGGGGGACGTGGTGCCCCGCTCAGACTGGGGTAAAGTATATAATTGATAAACACACTTCTATTCTTTTGTCAATTGGTAAAATAATCACATGTAGCACATGAATATGAGCTGTATTTTGAAACTGCTGTAATTAGTAAACGTGTGAAAATGTTTATCACAAGATGTTTATTAATCAAGTGGCTGACTGAATTGAAAAATTGGTTAAATTTACTCGACAAGTTTATTGTCCAGTCAGACAATGAGTTAAACAGCATCTTTCATCAGACAGATGACATAATCACATAAAAACTCATTTAACATTGTTGTGATGTCAAAATTAAATTATTTTTCCAGTCGGCATACCGATTGGCAGCATACCAATTGTCACCATGGTTACTATAATAACAATCATGGCTTGGTTAGGTTTAGGAAAAGATGGTGATTTGGGTTAAAATAAGTACTTCCTCAACATTAGACAATGTTTGTTGTCATGGTTACAAGAGCAACAAAACAAAAAAGGGATTAACTTTGTTGAAAGGTCATAGATAATAGAAACAACATAAACTGCTGGTTTCACACGGGAATCGAACACCACTCTCCTGTTTCACATTCATCCATCCACCACAACCTCCTCCTGACGTGGACTTTGTCTCTCTCTATACTACGTCACTGCACTTTTCCCTTTGCTACTGTCATAATTACTACGACCACTAGATGTTGCCTAGCAACAAAGCAAAACTATGGGTTATGCTTTTTAAGTTATATTTTGTATGTACGTATATATATGTGTATATATATATATATATGAATATTTTGTGCTACTCAAAAGGCTCACTAAGTTAGTACAGTAGTGTCTCCTCTGAGCTCCTTTATGTTGTGTCTGCACAGGTTTGTGGCTGGAGTGATCAGCAGGGAGAGGATCCCCACCTTCGAGAGGATGCTGTGGAGGGTGTGTCGTGGCAACGTCTTCTTAAGGAAGGCAGAGATCGAGGACCCTCTGGAGGACCCCGCCACGGTCAGCACACAGAATTTTAGGGAATTGGCTAATTGCTAGACATTGGAACCAAATACATAACAGTGACCTATAAATAGGTAGCCTATATAAGTATTTTCTTGTACCTTGTCTTTCCAACAGGGAGACCAAGTCCACAAATCAGTGTTCATCATCTTCTTTCAAGGTGACCAGCTGAAGAACAGGGTGAAGAAGATCTGTGAGGGGTGGGTGTCACATACACTTAATGCTACTGTTAGTTAGTCGTCATTTTAGGTCATTTTAAGTTAGAAGCCAAGAATATGTTTAAGCTGAATGTTGCGCTGCCGTGTTTTCAGTGTAAAGTGCATTTTGAGGCTACATGAAAATGCAAGATAAAGAGAGAAAGAGAAGGAAATTAAAAGGGACAAAGACAAAGTAACATCACTGACATACAGGTTTTACAAATGAGCCCAGAGCTGTTCCTCTGCCTGTCTCCATTGTGTTTTTCTGCAAAAGTACAGATCTCACTATGGACAGAAGCTCTGTGATTGACTGGCAAGCTGGAACATTTGGCTTCAGACACATGAAATTAATGGTTCTATTTAGTTATAACTTAATAATGAATCCACACACTCAAACCCATGTTGTACAGGTTATACAGATGCAACAGTCTAAAGTCAGATGTAGGAGAGTTCTCCGCTTTGTTTATTCATGCATTGCAGGGACGTTTCTGGCAGCTGCCTTTCCTCAGTCTGTAATTTAATACAACCCAGCACAGGTGAGCTGTATAACATCACCAAGCACAACAACGCAGCCAAGCAGACACCTGCTCACTCCTCCTGGATGTCTTATTGTTTCAGGCATCCAATCATTTCTTATCACTTTGATGCCGCCTGGCTTGATTGAAGACTTCACATCATCCTTTTTTGTGAATATGATTTATGTTTGGTGAGGTTTGTCCTTCTTCTTTTGTTGCAAACTCCTTGGCATGTGTGTTATTACTGGCTACATCGCTGTGCTTGATTATTTTATACAGCTCCCCTATGCTTGGTATATATACATATGCCTGAAATGTGAAGTGCTGACCTTCATGTGTTTAGTTATAAGCCATGACATGGGTACTTTGTAGTTGGTATAACAACAAAATAGGTTCATTTAGGGGTTAGGTTAAATTTCGACTAGATTAAATATAGGTTAAAAGTGAGAGCAAGAGAATATGATTCGTAGGCCGAGGCATCTCTGTACCGCAATGCTTCATTTATGGAATGTTGTGACACATTTTACCTTTATAAAAAAACATTGCAGCTTCTGTGATTTGGATATTGCACTTGGCCATATTGCAATTTACATAATATATTTTGATTAATTGTGCAGCCCTAGAATGTTGTATTTTCAGATGAGTAAACACAAGGACGTGTTGCCATCATAGGCATTAGAAAACAATGTGTTTTGTTTGAGAGGTTTGACCCTGGGAACAGTTCAGGTTGGACGACCAAGCAGAAAACTTTACATATGAGGGTGATATTCATGACATCATATTATTATATTCATATGAGCTTATATCAACTGGCCTTTTAAAGAACTGCAGGTCATGGCACTGTACCAGTGACCTAGCTGTGGTGGTTGTTGCTCAACTCACATTTATAACAGAAAGCCTGTGTTAGGCTACAAAGTGGGGGAGAATGAACGTGTCAGATACTGTGAGGTGACTCTGTTGGTGGGTTTATGTTTCCAGGTTCCGTGCCTCTCTCTACCCGTGTCCAGAGACCCCACAGGAGAGGAAGGAGATGCTGGCTGGAGTCAACAGCCGCATTGACGACCTCCAGATGGTATGTTTGTCACTTTACCTCCCATTACTGGCATTACTGCAGCAAACCAAACAAATAGGTGTTACATTAGATGATAGGTCAGACTCACACAAATAAACTGAAAATAAAAATAAAGTAGCGGGAGGGGAGTTGACCTTGGAGTGAAGCCTGCTTATTGTATAAGCCACATAACCATTAGCTGTACAGCTCATTTTTTGAATTGAATAATTCTTTCAAAGCATCTTTGTAGTCTTTGTTCCACTGCTGCCCACTAAACAACAAGACATTAATTTAACACAGCAGGATGTCTGCGCTTGGCTTTCCTTGATAAAATTTATTTCCAATCAAATTGAAAAAGCCCTCATGGTGTAGATGGCTGTTTTCTCGTGCATTAGTTCTTATCTGTGAAAGACCTTTGTCCTGTCTAGAGTTGTGCTCCCCCAAAGTTTGCCCTTATTAAGCCTGGAAAAAAGCCTCAGCTCTGCTTGAGAGGTCAGCTCCAGCCTGACACGGCCAACCACAGACAATGTGGTACACTCTACTACAATAGAGCATTTTACTCTGAATTATATAGAAAATGGAATTCTGTGCATAAACATGGCCTGAGCCAGTGCAGTGTGACCAGTTCAGCTGCATCATAGTGCAGATAGATTCTAAACATCCAGCTCACACTCTGATCGAGAGGAGGTCCCATGGGTGTAGCCATGTAACTGAAGGATCTGTGGATCGAAAGCATTAAAGTACATGCAACCAGTACTAAAGAGGTCAAAGGTCAGTGGCATAGAATGATGACAGAAGATCCAGCAGGCATTGCTGTGTCCTGAGTATGACAAATTAAAGTCTACAGAAGCCCAGAGGGGCCATAGCTGTACTTACTTTTTACGAAGTTTTGATCATGATATAATTATTTTGTGACCTTGGCCCAACCCACATGTCTTCTAGATAAAATACATTGGTGGTTCTGATATGATCAGCATTATGAACTAACTGCGATACAGAGTCAAGGTGTGCTGTCGATGTCACCAAGTTGCACCAAGTAGAGGGCCTTTTTTTCAAACAGGAAATAAAACAACCCCATCCTCATAATAAAACTGTAGCCATACTGTATTCTTATGTGCCAGTTTCCCCACTTTGTCCTGATGGTAGAATCACTCAGCCAGTATCCTGGGAGTGATTTTGTGTATGTCCTTTCAAAAAAAAAAGGAGCTGAAACAGAGAAATAAAATTTTGTCCGTCATAGACTGCTTTCAGGTTTGTCATATAGCTATAATGCCATTGGTTGCGATTGGAAATGTGACCAACAAACAAGGTCATAGCTGTCATGATTTTTCATTATTGATCTTGGAAACAGCAGCTGACAAAACCATTTCAAATCAAGGTACACTTACATGCTTGTTCTAGAGCTTTTGACCACATTTGGTCAAAAAAGGCTGGGTCTGTGCTTGGCAGGAGTCTGGACTCACTCAGGACTGTTGTTGAGAGACAAATGCAATGTAAGATGGAGGCCATCTTGGACGATACCAACCATCCTCTCCACAACATTCTGGCAGGACAGAGAAGCAGCTACAGCAGCAAACGTCTCATGACACTGCACTGTTTCCACTGCCATCAGGTTGTAGAACACTTCGGCCAAAGACAGTGGACTAATTTAATTAATATTGTTTATTATTTTTTATTAACTATTATTATTATTATTATTATTATTACTAATGATCTACTGGACACATGAATTTCCCCTATTGGATACATCAGCAGATGGAGCTGGAGCTGGCTCAGTAGTCACAGAACAAACGTCTTGTCTCAACAGCCTCTAAGCTGTCTTAAAAGTTTGTTTTACTTTTCCAAGTAACACAACTGAGATGTGACAAAAACAATGTGTGCTTATGAGAAAACAAAGCTTACACCAGGATCTCTTACTGTTGTATGTACCTACTGTATGGCTTGATATAGAAGTCAGTCTATCTGACATGAAGCTAAAATAGAGCTGGTGCAATACTCTGGTGACTTCTATGGAACATACTTACAGACCAGCAGTCTGTGCACCATGATTACCACTGCACCTCACCTCAGGTCGGCCAGTAGAACTGTCACATTTGGCACCATCCAAACATCCATTGTCAACTGGACAGGATCTAGCATCTGAAACAAATCTGCTCTTATAGGTGCTGAACCAAACAGAGGACCACCGTCAGCGTGTGCTGCAGGCTGCCTCAAAGACCATGCGGGTGTGGTTCATCAAGGTGAGGAAGATGAAGGCCATCTACCACACCCTCAACCTCTGCAACATCGACGTCACCCAGAAGTGTCTGATTGCTGAGGTGTGGTGTCCTGTCTCGGACCTGGACTCCATCCAGTTTGCTCTGCGTAGAGGGACGGTAAGTTTATTTTTAAATCTTTTATATCTTATACTTTTATTTTGGCCGGATTTGATTCCAGCAGCAGTTCATACGGGTCAATTAAGCTCTGTGAAATAACACAATTAAGTTGCTGCTGGAGAATTATGAGTCTCTATTAGAGTTTAGCTGTGTTAAAGTTAAACTTGAAAATAGAAACTATACTGAGGATGAAATAAGATAAACCTTTATTTGCACATTTCTATGGAAACAGCATCTACTGTAAGCCCTGATCCTCTGAGTAGTCGTTGTATTCTGCTTAGAAAATGAAGCTACTTAGCTAGCTTAGCTTGCTAACATTAGCACAAGATGTTTCTTTTTGTTCATAGTTTTTTGACACCTGCTGAGTCAGTGGCAGCTGACTGCAATGTTTGTCCTGCAGTATGAAACAGAATAGATCTAGCTAGCATTAGCTGTCACATATGTGGTGATGGCAAAGGAACAGACTGTTAAGACCCACAGTGAGCTCAGTCTTCATACGTTCCCCTATGATCCAAATCACAGGAGAACCTAGTGTCTGAGTAACATACAGACTGCTGAGAGTTTAGCACCTGGATAATGATGTTTTTTGACATCAGGTAACGTTAAGTCATGAAGTAGGTATGACAGACAAGACAGTATGGGCAGTATGTGACTGATATGTGAGGCTTTGTTTGCCAGGAGAGGAGCGGCTCTACGGTGCCATCCATCCTAAACAGGATGCAGACCAAGCAGACCCCACCCACCTTCAACAAGACCAACAAGTTCACATCAGGCTTCCAGAACATCGTTGACGCCTACGGCATTGGGAACTACCGGGAGATTAATCCAGGTTATACAGAAATTCCTTTGTCTCTATGTGAATTCATCACGTCATCATATCAGTGCTTTAACTGTCTACTTTTAATAGTACAGTGACAAAAAAATGCAGTCTTAGTTAGGGACAAAATACGAATATGCTTTTTGAAATCTATAAAGGGGCTTCTGTATGAAAATGGATGCACTGTCATCAGTGTTTGTCTCCTTCATACCCGTCATCATGCAAAACTAATTACTGAGTGTCAAAAGGTTTTTATTTGACGACAGGCTTTCATTAGACACAGGCAAGGGCGTAGGTTTGGGCTCAACATTGGTAGGGACACCGCAACCTCTCCCCTTTCAGCCAATCAAATGCTAGCATGCCTAAATTGGTTGTCTTGGGGACGTAGCCTCTGGAAGGGCACATCGGAATGATCTCATATGACTTAACTCCAAACATAGTACAAACAAGTAAACAGCTGTTTACAATCTAGAAGAAACACTGTGAGTTCAGCATCAAACTTCATTCCTTTACTCACCAACAGCTGTCTCCAGAGGTGGAAAGTAACATCAATGTTGACTCTTGTCTTTATCACATCTTTTCTTCTACTTTAGTTAGCATGCTAACCAGCTAACCCCGGCCCGTCTCCTCACTTTACGATACTTTACGATGACTCACTGCAGCCTCCAATCTGTCCTGAAGACGTAGCGCTGCTCAGAGACGTACTATAACTTCTTGTACTGTAAACACAATGATGGCTGAAGCTCTTGTCAAGCAACAAAACCACATTCGGCGGCAGAGAAAATAAAAAGATGTATATATAAATATATATATAAAGATATATCACTGTAATAGCTAAATTGACCATGTTACCAACATTATAAGGACATGATAAGATGCAGATGTTTGGTTGACTTGAGAATTTGTGACCTTCAGTCTAAATTTGTTGCCAAGGAAAATCTTTTTCCTCCAAACTGGTCAACTCTGAAACTCAACTGTTTTTTCTCACCTTCCTCACATGCTCATGTATAGTGAACTATAATCAGAAATGTGTTGCACTAGTCTCCAGTTTCCTTTACACATTTCTGTAATTGCAATAGTTTGTTATAATTATATTATGCTTCATTGATTAACTATTATGATTGCGATATGAATTGTTACACATGTTTAGGTTTGTTATAAATTTAACCTGTATAAGCTTAAAATTCAGTTGTATGGCAGAGACTCAGCATATGACTCATGTGTGGGCCTTGTTCTGTGTTGTCTGTTACAGCTCCCTACACCATAATTACTTTCCCCTTCCTGTTTGCGGTGATGTTTGGTGACATGGGTCATGGCGTGCTGATGACCTGTGCTGCCCTCTACCTGGTCATCCGAGAGAGTCGCCTCCTCGCCCAGAAGAGCGACAATGAGGTACAGTGAGACACGTAAACAAGTGATACAGTGATAAAAAGATTCACAGTTTGATACACATGTTGGAGACATGAAACATATGAAGCAAGAAGTTTTTGTGTGTCTCTGTAGATGTTCAACATGGTGTTTGCTGGCCGCTACATCATCCTCCTGATGGGGATCTTCTCCATCTACACCGGCATCATTTACAACGACTGCTTCTCCAAGTCTCTGAACATGTTCGGCTCTGGGTGGAGCGTCAGGCCCATGTTTGGCCCCAAAGGAGCCAACTGGTCGTAAGTCAGCCAACTCTCCCTGCACTTATATAGAAGTTAACCTTGTCATATACAGTGTTTTTAAAGAACAGATGAAGTTGAACACAATGCCTGATTTTTTAAATTATCTAAAAATTATCAAAGGAATAGTTCAGCATTAAATTCTGCATAATCATGCAGGAACCTTCTTACAGATCCATTCAGCTACTGTATCACTCACATTCATGTGATTTTATTCATCTCATCTCTGTACTGTTTATGGTTGATTTGTCCCAGATTTGAGACACTTGATGGAAACGCAGTTCTACAGTTAGACCCAGCTGTCCCTGGTGTGTTCAACGGGCCTTATCCACTGGGAATCGACCCGGTAAAACCTGCACACTCACTAAAACAACAAAAATAAATAGCTGTTAGTTATTTCCTCTGGTTAGAACTACAGTGCAAACATTACTGCTGGCTTGTAAACCTAATGCTAAAAATATACTATATTCTCAGGAAGAGACCCATACCAACAATGAATGTGTACTACCAAATTTTAGTGTTATGCCCTTAAACTAATTAACTAAAGTATAAAAGTATACTAAAGTAAAACTGAGGCTTTACAAGTGCTGACCCAATGGGCTTACGTCAGAGTGGCAAAAACGAATAATAACAAATAATCTATTCTAAACTGCTTCCAGCATGTTCATATCAGTGCAGCCTTATAGGAATAAACAAGAATAAAAAGGAGCAGTCAGGTTTCTCTGGTTGGGTTTCAGACCTCTGAACCTGCTGTGTGGTCTCTGTAGATCTGGAATGTCGCCACCAACAAGCTGACTTTCCTCAACTCGTTCAAGATGAAGATGTCTGTGGTCCTGGGCGTCATCCACATGCTGTTTGGAGTGTCTCTCAGTCTCTTCAACCACCTGTAAGTGCTACACTCTGCAAGGCTATTGCTGAATGTTGACACATTAGAGTAATTGATTGCATTCATTAGTAATTAATAGGGTAATTCTATTTATCTGACACAGTGTGATGAAACAATGAGCTGAATTCCGAACTATTTCCATATTTTGTTACTGGGACATGATCAGGGTTGGTCAGAATGCGACTCTTGGCTGACTCCCGTCACATTCACATGGCAAACCAGGCAAATACTTGTGGTCCCCGAGGAGAAAAGGCTCCCCTAATGGCCCCTCATATTAGCACATTTTGCAATGACAAATATAAACCCCCTTAAACACACTATGCAGTGCACTGCTGCTGCCCCAAAACCCTTGTAAAGGGGGGACCTGATGATGTCTGCTGTAGCTAGCGTCTACTGATTACCTGTATATGAGGTATTTAGGAAACATCTGTAAATTGTAGCCTCTACTGACAGTCTGCCTGTGAGGCATTCAGGGTACATGTGTAAATTGTAACATCTGACAATAGTCTGGATCGCCACTGCCTGCTGGTTAATGATATTTCCATTTTGCATTGCAAAATCAGCAGAGTAAAACTATTCAGCAAATGCCAGACCTCATCAGCAACAAGTAGAGTTATTGTCTGTGTTGGTAACTGACGTCACTGCACCCCAGGTACTTCAAGAAGCCACTGAACATCTTCCTGGGCTTCATCCCAGAGATCGTCTTCATGTCTAGCCTGTTTGGCTACCTCGTTCTGTTGGTCTTCTACAAGTGGACGGCTTACGACGCCTTCACCTCCAAGGATGCTCCCAGCCTGCTCATCCACTTCATCAACATGTGTCTCTTCAACTACAATGACCCCACCAACAAGCCCCTCTACAGGGGACAGGTGCTCCCTTCCTCCTCCTCCCCTCTGCCTCTCCCAGCTTCCTACCCCTCCCTCTTGCACTAACATAGCTGAGCACCGGTAGAGAGGTGCTCATAGTGAACAAACACACAATAATAATTACATATACTTTATTTTCTAGAATCTTACCTTCTTCCAGAGAGGTCAGAGATCACTCTTTCAAACTACTGTAGTACACTTTAATCTGCTCGTCAGATCTTCAGGACAGTCACAAAGTATTAGAACAGTGATATGGTTTTCATTGTTTTGGCTCTACTCCAGCACAGTCACTCTCGTTACATACAGTGCCAGAGGGAAATGTTATTGAGGAAGTTTTTTGCACAACTAGTTACCTGATAGTTACCAATCTACCTATTTATAGAAGTTTTCCATTAAGCTCACCAGCTGACAATATGGCTGACATGGCAAAAAGTTTTCTTTATTAATTTTCTCTCATATTTACTATTTATATTGTTTCTATTGCCCAGCCCTTGTTAAGAGATTGTTTTTGTTTCGTTTGAAGCAATGACAGTAATTGGAAAAGACAGTGGAACGGAGCAGCCAAAGGGAGGTTTATCCTAGATGTCACATCCGTTCAGTCCCACTAACAATTTATCAACATCAGCTGTAGTGTTGATTTGCTCCTCTTGTTGGAATTGAAAATCAAAACCACTAGAAACATCCAAGCAGAAAAGTCTGTTCTTCTTTCAACAGCTTGAGTTAGTGTTGGCGTAGAGGTAATCATGACTTCCATGTAACCTCAGACTCAAAGATGAAACAAAATCAGCTGTGTGGTTTTCCTGCACCAGCAGTGAGATTCAGGATTCAGGCCTGACCAGGATGTTCGGGGGGTTAGCGTTCTTCTGATCACTGCTGCACATCGCCAACACCTTGTTAACTTCTCTCTGTTTGAATCTGTAGATGGGGATCCAGGTTTTGTTGGTGCTGATTGCCCTTGCATGTGTACCCTGTATGCTGATTGTGAAAACTATGGTGCTTCGGCGTCAGCACCTGTGGAAAAAGCACCTGGTATGTGGATCTGACCCCGCCTATAACCTTACTGCCACCTTTGATGAATAACAAATATAACCTTTGATATAACCTTTTTTTTTCACTCCTATTCTGCCATTCATTGCATTGTGTAACGTGGTTGGTTGTGTTGCCATGAAAAATGCTTAAAGCCTGCCTTAGAAATGCTGTTATTTTGGTGGGAAATTTGTAAGAAATACTTGACAGACTGAGGGCACCCTGACAGTGTATTTTACTCTTTTGTTCTCCCCGTATATTTATATATATCCAACAGATATTTATTACCTGAATTTTACCACAATACATGCATGAGATACAGCGGCCTCGAGCTCTGGTTGCTCTCACTGGTTGTGTTAAACCTCAAAGAAATGAAGCCCCATCAAAATGAAGGCCATTTAAATGGAGTTAGGGTCAATTCGCTGTTGAATGATATTTATAGCTTTGTAAATTTTATATTGATAACTGGCAGTTTCTAGATGGATCGCCAGTCAGTGTTTATTGATTTTTTTAATATTAGTTAACTGTATTTGCAGAAATTACTACTAAAAGACAAGACTAGATTGCACTCACTAGTGCAACAGGTCAAGCAGCTAAATCGACATCTGAAGATGAAATATTATACATGAAAATTATTGAATAGTACTTTGCATTACAACAGTAGTTAGTTTATCCATTCATCCATCTTTCAGGTGATCATTTGTCTGTTATTTGTTGATGAAATTGTCAACAAATACATTTACTTTTTGTTTTCAAGAGTTACTTTTTATTTTGTTTTTTTCTCCTTTTTTCATTGTGTAAAAGAAAGGTCATCAATAATTTTCTTTGACAAAATGAAGACTGGTGCCATAGCTCAAAGATCACGAGTTGAAGCACTGTTTTTCAAAATGGCTAGTTTACCTTAGCTGACCACTTTCTAGAACGGTAGAAGCAATATTTTATCACTCTCTGATTGTTGAATGTTAGCATTTTTCATGAGGCAGCAGTTTTTGTCTTCACCTGTCTTCCTGTCAGTGTCTACATAATTTGAACAACTTGAATGGCAAACATTAATGTTGATGTTGATTAATACTTTATTTCAATGCAGTATTAATGTATTAAATGATCAAAATAGCTATTTATTATGATTTCCAGGTCCAGATTAGTCACCAGAACTAGCTAACCTGCTGACAAGCACATAAAAACAGAGCGGTAACTACAGAACCAGACTAGATCAGGATGTAGCTGGTAGCTCAGTGAACCACCAGGACATTTTTATTTTAGTCACTTTAAACTACAGCTGTCATAATATCAGATTTTCACTACATGATTATCATCGCCAGAACAATTCACTGTAAAGATATTAAAACTTAAAAGAAAATATGAAGAAGAAAAAACAGTCAAATTCTTGAACTTTGTTTATTGTGTGATTCGTCTCTTTTTTGCCGACTCAAAAATTAGTGTAGGGAGGTGGAAAGAGAGTCTATAACTATAACTGTGCAACAGCACACAAAAAGAACAATTACACTTGTATGGATTAACACAATACCAATATTTAATTTTTTAAATATGATATGCAACTGTAGTTCAGACCAAAGTTTCCTACCTGCCATTTAAAGTTCACAGTTACAAGTTGTACTTCATAAAAATGTCTCTATGTCTTGTAAAGTCTTTAACTGCTGAGGGTGAACTCAACCAGTGAGATTATTTTACCCTCCAGTAAAGGATTGATGTTCCTAATCTAATAATTTACAGGTTTAGTCTGTAAAAAAAATATTATTGTACTAGCCAAGATTTCAGTAGCTGATTGTGTCACTGAACATTTTAATTTTTTGTTACTTTTTATTTATTAAAAGTAAAATGTCATGTTTGACTACCCCCGTCACTGTACTGGGTGCCCTGTTTTACTTGAAAAAATGAAATCAAATTAAGAAGAAAGCGTTGAACCTAAGGCTTGCTTTAAGCTAGACACAGCTCTTGTGGCTTTTGTATCTAGTCCCAGAAGAGGGAAGAAACCCCTGCAGAGAATCTAGAGCAGTCTTTAGAGCAAACAGGCGTGTCCTCATCATGCACCGGACTCACCCAACAGGGCACGCAGAAGTTCGGAGGAGTGCGGGTGGGTAACGGGCCCACAGAGGACGAGGCTGGCATCATGGACCACGACCAGCTCTCCCAGCACTCGGAGGAAGGAGATGAGGTGAGCCCGTTAAACATCACCAAACGTCAACTTCAAGCTTCCTTCCTCTTCCAGACCTTCATTTAGTTTAGTTTTTAACTGGATTGCGATGCTAACTACATTTAGCATCACAATCTAGACTAGATACAGACACAAAAGATTCATTGTAATTTGCACATTTCTGTAGGGAACTGTGTGCAAGCAGTGCAAAATTCATCTCACTCAGAATTGCTACTAAATAAAAGAGTTGAAAATAAATATACTAGAAGGAGTAGAAATAGGGAGTGATGCATGTAGATCTGCTAAAGGTTCATTTCTTTATTGTTGAAATAATTTTATTAGTTAATTGCTTTAGCCAATAAAATGTCAGAAATCGTGAAAACTCTTCATTAGAAATTCCTTGAGGTCGCTAGTTTTGTCTTAACCAACAGTCCAAATTAATGACATGAAGCTGGGAAAAACATTTGAGATTATTCTGAGTATTTGATGAATTACTTAAACCCTTAATCAAGTTTCAAAATTGCTGTATAATCATATCAGCACTTGACTTGAGGCACACTTTAATTCTGTTACTGATATTTATTCAATTTAGGATTTCACCTTCATGTATTGAAAAGTGTTTAGTTTGACAGTTTGTCATCATTAAAGATTTCCATGTTTTTCTTTTAGGGTGGTCATGCCATTCAAACAACTGCACTTTTCTAATTGCACTACAGTCACTATTTATAGGCTCACTAACAAACATGTATTCTCCTTTTATAAGCAATCATATCAGTTCAATGAGTACAATAGTTCACATCAATTTAGATACAGTGGTTCCAGAGTCAGACTGTCAAAGGCTTATCACTGAAAAACTACTAATTTGAAATCTGATGTATCAGTCCATTCACCAGCTGCCTGTTGTCCTTTCATATCAGAGGACAGTCATTCCTGGGTAGTAAGGAGAGATGGGGGTTAACGTGGGCCTAACAAAGTGCAGAGGGAAAGGGAGGGCTGGCATGGACTAGAGCCGATAAGAGATGGATTTTCCGTTTCAGAAATATAAACAGAAAGGTGGTTTTCATGAGAACCAGCAAGTGGAATATCTGAATTCTCTGGGGTTTTTTTCTTCTTTTTCTATGACTCAGAGGTTTGGTGTGTCCTGGATAATAAATCTCTGAGTGTTTATGTTTTGATAACATATTGCATAACTGTAATGTAATGAGACTGTATTTTGTCACCATTTTTCCAAGAATGTGATCTTCCATTCAGGCAAGACTTAGCAAAAGTTTATGGAATTTAATATTGCATACTGTTGAGAGCAGCACTGTAACACAATGATGTAGAATACTATAGAAAACATCCAGATACATTTGTTTGATGGGATATGAAAGAAAAGTCAACCTTCTCTTGTGCTTTATCCAGCTCTTCTGAATTGTGGATAATCATTTAAAGGAGCTATTTGTAAGTGTTGCTATTGCTACATAGCTAATGTTATCATTAGCAGCTGCTTATTTGCCAGTCTAGAAGAAACGTTGCAAGTTCGGCATCAAACTTCATTCCTTTACTCAACAACAGCTGTCTCCAGAGGTTAACTATTGTCTCTATCACCCCTTTTCTTCTAACCAGCTAGCATCAGCCTGTCGCCTCGTTTTCCGATAGCGACTCACTATAGCCTCCAATCTGCTGCGAAGATATAACGCTGATTTTGTCTGGTACCAGGACTCTAGTGTCTGCTAAAATAAACTGTAATAAACTCACTAAACAGTGATCCAAAAAGTAGGATAGAAACTGATACAGCAGTTATTGAATTCTGCCACTAATCTTTGACTTTTGTTTGCTTTCAAGCACTCAGAGGAAGAGCCGGTAAGAGCCTGAGTTTGGTATCTTCTTAGCATGTCTGGATGCTGTCTTGCTCATGTATCTATTTGTGCCTTTAGAAGAAAGTGAAAGTGAAGAAACGTTCTTTCTTTGAACTCTGGTTGTTCTTTCTAAACCACCTATACTCCTTAACTGTTACTCTCCTTAACTCCCAATGCAGCATTTTCCCTGACTGTGATTTGTCGAAATGAGGCAGAAGATCACTTTACTATAATTGGGAAAAACAACAGTTAAATTGTTTTATTTTGATTAGAAACAATGGGAACTTCCTCACATTTGTCATTGCTTCACACCTGTCACAAAGAGATGAGTCACAGTGTGAACAGATGTGAGATCAAGGAATCAGACTGCACAATATTTTTGCCTTTTGAGACGGTCACTGTATCAGATTAGGTACTCACAGAGTCCTAAATGATTAACGTGACTTGGCAGAGAGTTGTGGTGGAAGGCATGCTCCAGTCCACATGTACTGATCATAGTTTGTCATCTTTCACAATGTGTGTGAAAGACAAATCAAAGTCTCCCACATGACAGGGACAAGTCCACGTCAAAACACAGGAGACAAAGACCAAGACATATCTGAGTCAAAACACAGGAGACCAAGACAGGGTTAGGTAAAAACACACATTAGACTGAGACAGATACCCAAAAGACTGACATCAGTCCCAGTTAAAGTCACTCAGAATCTGAGATTAGTCTAAGTCAAAACACCCATGAGACCCTAACAAATTTAAGTTGAAACACTATGAAACAGAGACAAAGATTAGTCAAAATAGTCCAAATATTGTGACAAGTTTGAGTCAAACCAAAACATCCAAGAGCCTGAGTCAAGTACACTCAAGAGGTCGAGACTAGTCCAGGTCAATAAAGCAATCACAAGACAGATGTGAATGCAACAGCTCTGCTCTTGAAATATACCTTAATATAAGAGAGCATCTCAGACTTGTCTTGGTCTCCAGTGCTACAGCCCTGCCTTTGAAAGATTCTCGACTTTAAACACAGAGTCTAAGTTTTCTTCTTTTTACTGAACTGTTCATTTCCTCCATCACAGATCCAAAGTCTTCCCTCTTGTACACTGTAAATGTACGTTGTGAAATCACGCGACTGTAATGTGTGGTAACAACATTCTAATGGAAACCACTTGCGTCCATATATTTTGCCATTACAGCATGTTAGCCAGTGTTGTTTTCTGTCAGAGACCCTTTGAATGGGAACAATGAGCACTGCTTCCGTGAACTCTCTTTCACGAGTCCAAGGACAAAAGAGAAGCATGGAAAGAGGAAACCAGACCAGTGCCAAACCAAACCCAACAAGAGCAATGTAGAGCAGTAGACTTCTATGCCCCCCCCCTCCCAGCCTGCTTCATACAGGAAAGGCTAGTCTTGCTCCAGGATGGAGAGAACGGAGGAACTCTGTTGGCTTTACAATACACAAACAAGCCCCTGAACTCTGAGCCTGCTCGGGCCAGACATCTTTGCTCTTTGTTTTCTGCCTGACTACAGATAATGGCTCAGCCAGGGGTCAAAGGTCAAAGCAAGCACTCATTAAGATATTAAGAGAATTTCCATTTCAAGTCATTTCCACTGTTCATGCCATATGAACAGTAGAGATGTTATTATTGGGGACATTTTCAATAGCAGAGCTGGGTGATAATCTTTTTTTCAGGGTTGAATAGATAAAGTGTTTTTTAACAGATTATACACTACCGGTCAAAAGTTTGAGGACAACCCAATTTTTTACAGTTTTCTTTTTCACAGTTGGAGTCCAGTGAAAAAACTTGAAAATTTTTATGACACCAAAATGTCATAGGAAACAGTCCTTTTCAGGGACGAAGCTTTCCTGCAGCAGTGAAAGTTAATGCAAATAGTTCTTACAAACCCTCGCTCTGTACAAAGACAGTGTTGGAACAAACTGTGTTACTACTTACTTCAGCTGATGGGTGAGTCAAAATTTAGAACTGAGACATTAAATTATGTACATTTCATTAACAACTGTAAAATAGTGTTCTAAAACCTTTCAGTGTACATTCTGAAATTTGTATTGTTATTGTCTTGCATTCTGCAGTCAGCATGTTATGTTTAAGCTATACTTTCATTTTTATGTTTACACAATTGAAGCATGTTGAAACATATTTTCAGACAAAACACACACACACAGTGGCTTCAGAAAGTAGTCAGAACCCTTCAGTTTATGCACACTTTATTTGGTTTTAGATTTAATCGTAAATGGGTAAAATCCAAACTAAAAACCTTAATTCAGTACTTAGTCATCAAAGTAAATTTATTTGTAAAGTGAGATACTAAAGTGTTTACAGGGCAGGGTCTAATGAGAGACACCAGTGAGTTGCATAATGCCAATGACAGATCCAGTGTTTTTGGAGCTCGGCCTCTGCTTCTTGTTATATGTTCAGAGACATTAGGGAAATGCAACACTTGATCATTTTACTACCTCAATAATGTTCCTGTTTATGTATCATGCAGAATACAGATACAGTGTTTGTCTCTAAAAGCAGAGGAGGCAAAAGTAGTTCCAAAAAAGAGACACAATGGATGCATTGATGGCCTGAAGGCTTCTTAGCATTGAGGTTGTCAGTTAAATCTTTCCCCTTGTCACACTTGCTCCTCACTGCCACTACTGAGGTGCTCTCAAGCAAGATTAAAGGGCATTGGGCCCCTGCGATGTGCTTGATTTACTGCATGCACACATGGATTTACAGAAGGTTACTACAGTGCATGTGCAGTAACCATGCTGTCCAATTACTTGCTTAACCTGATTCCTCTGAGTAACTTGGTTTCTTTTATTCATGTAAAAGTACTGAGTGATACTTTTCCGGTTAAGTAAAGGTTTGACAAAATGTGTGATGAATACATAAACTGCTGTGCATCAGATGTGTCCTATGAAAATAGTATAAACAAGGTACTGAAATCATTCCCTCTCACTTTTGTCAGTTGCTCCCAATACAATGAGCAGCAACTTTACTATTTAGCATTTATAAACAGTAGATACTGTAAACATTTAATAAATAGTTGATAACACACGATAATGTTCTACTATAATGCCCCCCCCCACTCCTACCATCCACGCTTATATCTGCTACATTATAGTCCATTATAAACCATTTATTCAGTGTTTTTACACTGCCTGCTTATCAATGAGAAACAGGAGATCTTACATGCAAAACCTTGCTGCTGTACCCATGCTGTGTTGTGTTCTAACCATTGTGACTTTCCACAACAGTTTGACTTTGGTGACGTAGCTGTCCACCAGGCCATCCATACCATAGAGTACTGTCTGGGATGCATCTCCAACACAGCCTCCTACCTGCGCCTCTGGGCCCTCAGCCTGGCTCATGCACGTGAGTACAAACGCACATGCACCATGCACACAGGCATGCATACACATAATCTGTAAAATGTTATTTAAAGAGGTTGTAGATAAAGACCCTATTTGTCTGCAGTACATGTAGTAGATACATCAGAACATCAAATATTCTTTATGTGTTTATTTTAGCATAATCTTTATTATTTATTATTGTTTATTATTATTATTGAGTGGCAGTAGCTCAAGAGGAAGAGGGTCGGCAGTTATGGTGTGTGTGTGTGTGTGTGTGTGTGTGTGTGTGTGTGTGTGTGTGTGCGCGCGCGAAAGGATGAATGAGAGTGAATGTAAAGCAACTATATAAGTGCAGTCCATCTATGGTATGCTATAATGTTATTATCATTGTGTGTATGCAGAGCTGTCAGAGGTGCTCTGGTCCATGGTGATGCACCTGGGTCTGTCCTCCCGGAGCGGGGGCGGGTTCTTCGGCCTGTCCATCATCTTCTCGGCCTTCGCCACGCTCACGGTCGCCATCCTGCTCATCATGGAGGGGCTGTCAGCCTTCCTGCACGCCCTTCGTCTGCACTGGTTAGACCCACAATTATAATATACCCACACACATACAACCTACATGCATGCTACATCACCCATGCATAAATTCGTGATATGTACAGAGCATGATAGACTCTCATATGCCACATTGATAGAAAACATACACACAGTGAGCTGTTCTTCACCTCTTGAACCGGGTATCTCTGCCTGGGTTGCACTTCTTCAGTTTTACGTGTACATGAGGAATGTTAGCAACATGAAACATTCCTAACCCAGAGTGGTTTACCAAACTGTGAGCACGCAGGCCTCCAGATAATCTCACGCACCCCCCAGATCCATCACCTCCTAGCACCACCTCCACCCTGTTGATCTAGCCTGCACCACTGCAAACTACACTGACACACAGGGAGGACAAACAGTGTGAAGCTCAATGTAGAGAAGCCATGGAATATCCTGGAACAGGGTGATTACCACTCTGATGTAATAAAAGTGTATGTATTAACAGGTAGTAGAAGTAATTAGAATGTGTTAGAAGAAAACAGCTGTAATCATGAATCATATTAATGGGCATTTTAAATAGATGAGTATTATGAGCTTGTAGAGAACTGTGAGGAGGAGCTGCTGTTAAAGTGATGGATGGTAAATGTTCAGTATCCCAAGAGGGAAAACTCCCGTTCAGCGCAGAGTACATAATTATATGCATCCAGTGATTTATGAGCACATAAGGACTGTTTCACACACACTCTGGGCTTCTCTGTCAGATAGGTGTCTATAAACCATGTTAAAAAAAGTAGCAACATACTACAAGGGAGAGTGGTTACAAAAGATATTTTTTTATTTCACACTTATACCTCTAGTGGTATGCAGATAATATGTTAAAAATGAATCGGGAATCAGCTCTTTTACATCCAAAGTTCCTGTTTTACCTCGTCACAGAGCAGTGTGGTCAAGTGTTGGTCAGGAAAAACTGCATCAAGGTCAGAAAGTCACCAAAATGCATAAGAATCATTTTCTGGCCACTTTCAATAGCACAGATCAAAATGACTGCACTTAGGTCCTAATGAACAGAAGGTAATAACATGTCAAATCTGATGCATATTAACATGTGTTTGTAGTTGTTATTTTTGTATTGGAGTAACAGTTTACTCATGACAAATGGGTTGGAATCACAATTCTTGTAGAATAGTAATGATCAGAAAATACAGCTACTGTCCCTTTAAAGCTTCTCATTTTATAAAACATAAAAGGATTAAAGGAATAGTTTGACATTTTGCGCAAAACATTTTTTCATTTCACCTTTAATCTCATGTCTGTGTGTTAGGGACAGGCTTGGAGTCAGGATGTGGTTAGCCTAGCTTAGCATACAGACTGAGAAGCAGGGGGAAATAGGTAGCCTGACTCTGTCCAAGTTCAAAAATACACTCACCAACATTTCTAAAGCTCACTGATTAAAAACGTTGAACTCATTTGTTTAATCTGGACATGAACTTAATTTGAAATTTTACTGATTTACATATTGTGTAGTATTTACTGAGAAGCAGCAGTGTTTACATCCATCCAACACTTCAGTGCAGAATCTCAGGCAATAATGCAGGTCCTCAGATAAACGGTTACCAAAGGTTTTGAATTCAGTCTTAAATGCCAGGCTGTCAAACCTACCACCTCACTGTGAAGACGACGAGGAACTCACAAAGTCACTGCATCCAGCTGCTGTTCCCCTAGAAAGACAGAACAAGATACATCAAGCATGTAACTCCCGCTGAAACCACAACTTGTCATTTTTACAATTCTGTTTTTGTACGTACATATGACATGTTAATTAACTAATTGACAGGCGTATTTTTGAACTTAGCTCTTTCCCCTGCTTCAAGTGTTTACACTAAGCTAGGCAACCATGTCCTTATTACAGCTCCAAATTCATATTGATATTGATCTTGACAACGAAATGCTCCTGTATTTGTGTACCTTTTATGTATTACAGAAGTTGTAGCTGTGCTGGTTAAAAATATTAATTGAGATATTAGGGTTGAACCAAAGGAAGGATGTTATTCACAGGCCTTTCTGCTGTGTGACATACAGTCTCAGTCTTATTACAGTCTTATTTGTGGGAAATTAGAGTCGATATTAACAAGTGCACCCTGCTGCATCTCTGTTTTACAGTTTATTAGTTTAAGAAGCAAAAGCAACAGGTTTATTTTCTTTAATCCTTCTGGTCTGGTTCCTGATAATAACACAGAGCTTTGTGTCATGGTTCTGAGATCGACAAAATGCAGGGAGAAATATCTTGTGTGTTTTTGTTGGACAGAGGTATGCTGTTAATGCTTAACTGCTGCTCTTGGGGCTGATTGTTGTAAGTAGGTTTAAGTGGAAACGGCCTGTCGGTCTTGTGTATGTCTGTCTTTCCTGTAAACCAGTGGAAAGTGATCTGACCACCTCTGAAAGACCAGCACAGCTGTCTTTTGTCCAGACTGTTCTTCCAACACTGTATTGTGTTGCATAGTCATACCTATCTGCTTCACACAAGGGCCAGCCTTATGTTCCAGACTGGAGATCATACTGTAAATAAGCTGTCCAGGCAGGTGTAATCAGCTGAGTTGAACCAGAGGTTTTATTAACACATTCAGTGTAGATTGGGTAAAACTGACTCCAGGCCAAACACCACATCAAGAAAAATACTTTTAAGGAATGGCAGTACTTCCTGATGATAGCAAACACCTGTGGGATTACACAAACATGTTTGAAAATGTAACCTGTTGCTGGATAATGTGAAAAAAGTAATGTTTTGATTGAAGGTTTACGTATGGAACACATTTCTATATATATTGAATTAAAAAATCCCATGGGCACGCATGATAAAGGTTTAAAAAGAGGTGGTCTTCACAATATGAAGGTCCACTATGATGGTTAGCTCTGGTCTTAAATTGCAGCTCAACTGTGAATGTTTGCTGATGTTTAGAAGTGATTTGGACAAGATGCCCAGTGAGCCTGTCATAAACTTTTATTGACACTCAGAAGTGGTCTTGTAAAGAAATCTGGATGTTGACCATGTTCACCATCTGTCCACAGATGATCAGAGCAGGGACATCTAATAGTGAGGCTGTCATGAATGCCCATTGATGGTCAAAGGAAAAGGTTGTGGACCAAACCTGTAACGGGGTGTGGTAGGACCCAATTGCAGCACAACCAAACAGGTGAATAGTTGTTAATGACTTATTAATTACTTATTGATTCTCTCAGCAGGCAAATAGTCAGTACACTTACAGCTGAGAGTACATGGATAGGGTGAACCCCAGGAAGCAGTTGTTTGCGGGAGTCAGGAATAGGCCAGGAGGTGACGGCGGAGACCTTTGCCAGTTCTATCTTACCGCTGCCTTGTGCCACGATGTACCCCAGGAAGGAGACGGATGAAGCATGGAACTCACACTTCTCACCTTTGACGATCAGGGAGTTCTCGAGGAGTTGTGGAGCACTGACTGGTCGTGGTGAACATGTTCCTCCCGGGTCTTGGAGAAGATTAGGATGTCATCGAGGTACACGAAGACGAAGCGGTTGAGTTTGTCCCTAAGCACGTCATTCACCAGGGCTTGGAAGACCGCAGGGGCGTTGGTGAGTCCGAAAGGCATTATGAGATATTCGTAATGCAAAGGTCGAGCTTGGTGAAAATGATGGACCTCTGAAGCAGTTCAAAAGCTGACGAGATAAGAGGCAGAGGGTACCGGTTCTTTATGGTGATGTCGTTCAAACCCCGGTAGTCGATGCAGGGTCTCAGAGTCATGGGAATCTGGACTGGTACGTGACTGTGCCCAAATGGGGGCCGTCGATGGCCCGAGCTGGAACCGGGTGAGGTAGAGGAACCTGCTCGAACCCCAGCTGCTGAACCAGCCCCTCGTCAATGATACAGGCGTCCACCCCAGAGTCTATTAGGGTGGCCAGGGTGTGGGGACCATCAAGAAGGATGAGCCGGACTTGGAGCAGCAGTCTTTGGTTGCGGGGAGGTTTGACGGTTGTTGGGCTTTTACTGGGTACTTGTAGACAAAGTGACCTGCCTGCCTGCAGTACATGCACAGGTTAGACTGGCAGCAACGTTCCCATTCCTCTGGGGTGAGGGAGGTGCGGCCCAGCTGAATTGGCTCGGACTCCCCCTCCCCCTTTCTGCGGCAGGCGAAGAGGAACCCCCTGATGCTTCTCTCATCTGGATACAGAGATCGATCCGGATGACCAGATCAATCACCCTGTCCAATGTGGAAGGAATATCGTGGGAAACCAGCCTGTCATTAATGTAGTCAGCCAGACCGTGGAGGAAGGCGTCACAGAGGGCTGCAGAATTCCATTCGATACCAGGAAGTCAGTCCGGAGAAGAACGCTGGAAAATCTTGCATGGATACAAAGAACAATCTGGCAAGGAGCGAGTGAACCGGGGACGCATATATACTGGCTTGATTGGAGATGGAGTGCAGCTGGGGGCAACAGGTGAAGACACTGAGGCTGATGCGGAGGAGTGGCAAAGTGGAGAGTGAGACAGAGGGTGGCAGGGTGAGTGGAATAACACTGAGAAGCAGAGCAGGCTGACATCAAATGAACGCAATGTGCACGTCCATGTGAGGATGAGTGTTTGCTGGGATTGGCCACTGTAAACAGTAGTTGTCATTTGATTTTTAAGGATCTGGTGATATTCTATATTTTTCTTATTGTTAACAAATCACATCCACAGTATATAAAGATGGATGTAGCCTGATTAGCGCTTTTGAAGCTCAGGGTGTGCTGCTTCGGCATCATCATCTTGGTTGTGCCTGACTCCTGGTTAATCCAAAAATACTCTCTAGAGGATTACTGTGGTGGGGTGTGTGTGGAGCTGAGATTTCGGTGCATGCTGGTTTGTAGCAAGCATAAGTTCACCCACCTGTCACTAAGGTTTAATTAAGCAATATCACACTCGAGATCGTGATGTTATACTGAGTATCAGCATGGCTGTGATTCGGTCAAAGGCAGCAGAAGACAATCACAGCCGTGCTGATATTCAGTACCATATCACAACC